CTTTAACTTTACTCCCAGTTGACCTGTTGCCTAGATATAATTTGATATTTAAATTATTTATAGATAATGAACATTATGGGAGACCCATTTCTTTCTCTCAAAGTATCAGAAGCCTTCAAATTCTCTTCAATGACTTGGGATGCTAAAACACAGTTTTTAAAAGTTTCTTAGCAGAAACCTCTCAAGATAAGTGATTCCATGATGAAGGCCACCTTGGGACATTCAGCTCTCCTATCTCTCTTGATAATACCTCCGCTGTTTCCATGGGCTGGGAGTTGCTAAGGGGTTAACAATCTGCTTTCGTAAGAACTATATCTATTTAACATTGGTTCAAAATGTGGCTCTTTAAGCTGGGCTTAGGATGTCACATCGCCCGCTTCCAAAATGACAACTGTGACCTCATAAATTTACTCAAGAATCGGAAAGCCCTATTGGATGCTGTCTTCTCTGCTCTACGCTTCTTATCCAAGGAAGCTACAGCCACTAAAGGTTGAGGAGTATGAGTGAATCATCCTGCTACCAAAATCACCGAAGTGAATTATCCAATACGCAAGTTATGCTTACTTGTTAATGTAAAAACACGTGAAACTGTTCACTACAGATTAGTAAACACAGGTCCATTTATCTTGCTTACTGGATATTCCATCTTTGTAAAAAAACAAAACAAAAAAATTAATTGCCATCAAATGATCACAACCCATAGTGACCCTACTGGACAGAGCAAAATGGGGTGTCCAAGCCTGTAAATCTTTGCATTAATTATTTTATTGACATATACTCCTTACACAATACGATTCAATAGTTTAAATATGCTAAAAAGATTTGGATGATCATTACCACATTCATTTTGGATAATTTTATTCCTTCTTGTATCCACTGTCATTAGCTACCTATTTTGCCCAACAACATATGTTGTAAGCCTAAGGATCAATAAACTATTAATCTAGTTACAGTCTCTATAGATTTACCTTATAAAAACCAGAGCAAGTTTAAAATGAGTCAAAAGAGAAAAGAAGGGGTAAATTGTCAAATGTTAAGCTAACTATAACTACAGTAATCTATTTTGCAATGCGCCCAGTCTAAAGAAAACTATTCACTTATCCATGCAGAGGTTGGAGGGAGTTTAGTGAAGACTTTAGGCACATGAGGACGCTCCAAATGGATTTCGGGCTTCCACTATTATCTCTAGCTTTCTTTGAACTGGGTGCTCAGAATTTACGTTCTTTTACAATTTCCTCCTCTAGTCCCTGATTTTATTGTTTTCGTTACTTGGGACACACAGGCTGGTGTGTTTCTTCCATGTGGCCTTCTCTGACACCTCTCATAAATGGCTGCTTGTTTTAAAGCAAGCCTTTAATATCCCAGAAGCCTATAAATCTTTATGGAAGCAAGTTGCTTGATCTTTCTCCTGTTGAGAAATGGGTGGTTTCAAAGCTATGGCCCTCCATTTAGCAGTTTAGCACCACCATTGATCCTCCCATCTTTATCAAGGATTGTAAATGTATAAAGAGGCATTGATTCTGTAGAGAGGGTTGTGGGAATGGAGGAGAAACAGATGCCAACGATACCTAGAAGCAGAATCTTGGGGGTGGTGAACAAATAGAAAATGATTCACCATGAGTTAGCAAGTAAACAGTGCAAACCCATGCTTATATGGCTTATTAGGCAGCTCGACACTACAAAGTATAACCACTTTCATTGAATCAATACCGACTGGTAATGACCCTATAGGATAGACTGGATCTGTCTCTGGGCTTCTGAAGCTGTAAAACTTTAGGGGTACAGATAGCCTCACTTTTCTTTGACAAAAATGCAAAGCAAAACAAAACAAAAGATTTTTTAAATTTTGTAGTTTTATTTATTCATTGTTTTACCTGCCTATGAGGGGATTGTAAATAATGCCGTGGCTTGGGCCAGGCCCATCTGAATCCTCACAGTGACATCTTGCTCTTCCAGACTTTTTTTTTAAAATCATTTTGTTAGGGGCTCATACAACTCTTATCACAATCCATACATACATCAAATGTGTAAAGCACATGTGTACACTCATTGCCCTCATCATTCTCAAAACATTTGCTCTCCACTTAAGCCCTTGGCATCAGCT